TTAAATCTTAAATCTTAAATCTTAAATCTTAAATCTTAAATCTTAAATCTTAAATCTAAATCTTAAACCTTAAATCTTAAAATCTTAATTCCTAAATTCTTAAAACCCTAAATATAAATCTTTAATGTTAAATCTTAAATCTCAAATATTACATCTGAAATCTAAAAACTAAAATCTTAAATCTTAAATCTTAATTCTTAAATTCTTAAAATCTTAAATCCAAAATATTAACCTAAATCTAAAATCTTAAATCTTAAATCTTAAATCCTAAATCTTAAATCTTAAATCTCAAATCTCAAATCATAAATCTAAAATCTTTAATTTTAAACCTTAAATTTTAAGTCTTAAATCCTAAACCTTAAATCTTAAATCTCATATCTATACTTTAAAATCTCAAATCTAAAATTGAATATCTAAATAATATCTAAGATCTAATATCCAGTATTTAATATCTTATACTTAATATCAAGTATATTATATTTAACATAGCCAACATTAACAAACTACCCTTTGTATCCATTAAAGTTATTTGTGACAATTTATTCATTTTCTGCGCTCTACTACATTTTATTTAATATCGATTTTCAACTATGCAATAAATTAACCGTAATCGTTACCGTTTATACCGAGTTAACCTCAAAAAATCACAAAATTTTGCGTGCTTATATAGCATAAAATTAGCATACATTGCCATATTATGTATACATTGACTTCAGTTTTCTCAAATGATTGCCACCAAATAACAAAATTACTCATAATTAGCTACCAGTACGCGCCATGCTGTGCCATTATAAACCGTTTAAAACTTGTTTTATGCATTTTCAAAATGGCCAACGCAGATTTCTGACGCTTCCACGAGCTGTCAACCAGTTATAAGTATGTATATATGTTTATATGTATATGTGAATGTGTGAGTGGATGCATGAGAACGTTAACGCACATTCGAATTTATAGCGCAAAATCAGGTTTATTCAATTTTCATTATTTTAATTGTGCCATTTCCATTGTGTGATTGTATTGGTGAGCTGTTTGCTGTTTGGATTGCGGAGATTCAAACGACTGAATTGTTGGGTGAGATGAGTTAGTGAGTGCGTGTGGGTGTGGGTGCGTGTTGCTCGTTCGACAATTATTCATTTGTGTTTGCTGCTGATTGCGGTCAGTTGTTTAGCAAATTGACGGTGATTAATTTTTATATGATGGTATAAAGTGATTACGTATGAGTTGGTGACTGATGTATGTATGTGAAAGCAGCAGCATATAAACAATATCTGCTGATTTCACATGCAAATGAGATGGGGAGAAATTATTATAGAAACACTTTTGATTTGATTTGTTTGTTGATAATTTTTGCGACATATTTTTTGCACGTGGTGTTAAAGTAGTTTGTAAATTTTATATAAATTTGTCATTGTAGTTAGTTTGATATCTAAGTTTACCATTAAGTTCACAGATACTTCTATTATATTTCTTTCTGCTTTATTTATTGTTTTTTGGGACTTTGAAATGTATTTAATTAAATTAATTTAATTTATTTTTAATCCACACATTAATTTTTCACTAAATACTTATATTATTCTCATTTAAAATCGGTTATCAATTGATGGCCAAAAAATTAAATATCTCCTACATTATATTCGAATTTTTGTCTCTCAATTGATAGCTGTTTTAATATATGCAAATAAATCGCAATTAATTTTAATGCGTTTTTAATATATTTCGAATTTTGTATTTAAGTCTCATATTTCTCACAACTTTTGCAACAACTTTCAATTTCAATTCCCGCAATGTAAATAATATCTCGTAAATATAATGCGATTACAATATTTACACAATTTCAACTCCCATAAATAATGAGAACGCGCGCTTCTATCGTTTTATAGACATATTTGATTGCAGTTTCATGTAAAGAATTCAAGGCAAATGCAAAGTTTATGTTGATTAGTTATCAGATATTAGCGGACAGTTAATATAGAGAGATGAAATCGATTTCCAACAATTTCAGCAATAGGAAAGGAGTACTAGAATTATTTCCTTAAAAACAAAGAAAAAAAATTCCTGCGAGTAAAGGTCGTCTAGTAAACTTTTGATAACCTCGAAAGGTAAGCCTCAAAGTACGCTTTAGAGACTTAAAAACGTTATAAAATTGGTGATACAGTTGAAAAACTATTTCCCCTGTTCGTAAATGGCCGAAATATGTTAAGACTATATTCAGACCTACTTCCCATATAATATAATTTTAAGTTTCATCGACATTTTTTTTCAGTATTTTTATAGCATGTATAGTCTTACTAAATATTTGTTTAAGGTTGTAATATTATAAGTGGTTTAAATGTTAAAAAAATCTATTAAGCAGCAAATTTACTTACCTCTGGCAACATTTTTAAGAATCCCAGCAGGAAAATTATCATTATGCTCGATGTGGAGACACAAAATTGCATTTTGAGAAATGTTATCGCGCACTTGCGGTTAAACCAAATTGGCAGAAGTATGAGAAAAGCCGAACAGGACTGCAATAAACCACAAGCGCAGCTGATAATCACGAAGAGTGGGCGTTGTGTGGGCGAAACGGGTTGTGACTGCAAGAAATTGGGAAAAATTAGAAAATTTTTGTGAGAGAAATATTTTAAATAAAAACAAAGGGAATCTGAAATGTTTCTTAAACCAAAATATTTTAATTGTTATTTTTTAATAATTAATTACTGTTTTACAAAAATTATATTAAATTAGCTAAAATAGTGATTAAGGGTCACACCTAGTGTGAAGTTTTAAAGAAAATCGCTTTTTACAAGGTTATACCTTTAAAAGTAATAATATAATAATAATACAATAGTAAAATCGTTATATGAAATAGTTTTTGAGTTACAGCCTTCTTTTTAACACGTTAAATAAATTCAATCAACTCCATCAGTTCATCCAAGATCCATCAGTTTATCGTCAAACGAGTTTTTTCTCAAAACTAAATTTTTTAAATATTCTTGAGTGATTACTTGGAGATGAGTGATTCGATCATTAATACATTTTTTTTCATGTATAGCTCTCCATTATCGAACAATTTCTTGTTCTGATTAAAAATCGAATTTTGACCGGTCAGAAATGCCCAATATTTTGAGTAAAACTCAGTTTCACAATTTTATTAGTTTTTTGTTTTTTTTTTGTCGCTATATATACAATATCTTCTAGAAGAAATTCTTTTTTTTGAGTTTTATGGAGAAGGCTGAAATCATTGCTGCAGTAGAAGAACTATCTTTCAGCGCCGTCGCAGATGCAATGTAACTCTAAAATATTTTAAGAACGTATGTAAATATATTCGAAAAATGAAGAGAACTTTAAAGAGTCGTCGTTTTACAAGATCGATGAAAATCGCTGCAAGAGGTACTTTAATAAGTTATCTTCGTATAGTTTTCTTTGTGTATTATTTCCAATTTGGGATAACTCACTTAGTAATTCAATTTCGTTCGTTTTCGGTTTTAGGTTATGGTGAAAACAGAATAAAATTTAAATCTGAATTTAAGTAGATAAAGTTGTTGTTTTATTACGCATATTCCCACATTATTTTGACCTTTTTGTCGCTGTTTGTGCTACTTTTTATATTTCTGTTGTTGCTTTAAAATTCATAAAACAAATACAAGTCAAAGCCATAAATGTGCATGGCAAGTGTGAGTGTGTGTGGATACGTGAAGTTGAAATTTAAGGAAGCGGAAATAAGCATTAAAATTTATGAGCTTTTATGCCGGCTACTGCCAAGGCTAAGGGCTAAAAAGCGAAAGTAAGTTAGTATGAAGGCCGGTCGCACAACACGCTTACCACACACACCGAGTAAACCAGAACGCAGCTGAGCGAGTGGCGAGTGGGCGAGCGTGTTGCTGTGGCATAGCTGGGCTTAAGCAAATTTGTGTGAGCTGAATTTTTGAGTAGCGCTATTTTATTATTGTTGTTGCTAAGAAAACTGCAACTGAACTCTACTTATGCGGAGGTGTGTGTGGCCGCTTACTAGCTGCAAATACAACATTGCGTTTTTAGTGGCTAAATCAGGAAGTGCTCATAAGCTACACACACACGTATATGCACATTATGGCACTTATAAGTACATGCGAGCATTTTAAAATGAAAATCTCTAAAAAGCGAGTTAATATGTCTGTTTTTGCTTGCACTAGTTTAGCGCCGAGCATTACGTGCTTTGGCTTGCCTTGCGGCAAAAGGTTGCTCTAGGCCACTTAATAGTTGTGTACATATATGTGTATGTGTACTGCTGCTTAACTGCAAATACACAAAACACACACATACAATTAAGGTACATATATCATGAATTCTGGTAGTAACAAAAGGTCTTGATGCTTTTACTTTTCATTTATATTCAGCTTGTTTTTTTTGTTCACGCTGTGAGTGGTTTAATAATATTAATGTAATGGTGCTAAACTAGTACAGAAAGGGTGGCTCAAAAGATAGTTCATCCAAATTTTTACGTGAATACTTTGAAGGACATATTTGCTATTTTGAAATATGTTGTTAGTCTAAATACTATGTTCTATATTCTATGTATTTTGTTCGTTGTGCCATATATTAATATATGGTGTAATACAAAATTCTATGTTCTATATTGTATGTGTTATGTTCTATTTCTATGTCCAATATTGAGGAAAATAATTGCCATTTTTGAATATGATGTAATTCGAAATTCTATGTTTTATGTTAGATGTTCTATGCACTATATTCTACTTTTAGGTATATAGGCGTTATATTTTTATATAATGTAATTCAAAGTTCGATGTTCTATATTCTATGTTTATGTTCGATGCGTAGATGCTCGTACATGAAACATCTACATATATTCTAAAACGTCGTTTTGAATATGGTGTAAATCAAAATTTTACGCTCTATAATCTATATTTTCAGTTCGTTGTTCTAGGTTATGTATGTTATATTCCTTGTTATTCTAATTTTATATGCTATGTTTTAGATTTTAAGTTCTACACAATATATTATTACTTATGCTATGGTATGTATTGTATATTATATATAATATATATTTATATTTTCTATAATATATACTGTGTTATTCTTTTTGTCTTTTAAACTCTAAGTTCTGTATATAACCCGTTACTTTCAGTTGGGTAGTTTTCAATACTTTTAGCTTGCCGAACTCACATTAAGTTATTACAGAAATTTATAACGTTCTATATTTTTTAATCTATTATCTATGTTTTATCTTTTTTACGCCTATTATACATTCTATGTTTTAAATTGCGCAAAAAATTTTCTATACTCAACATTCAATATTCTATATTCCATATTATATATCTTATATTGTATGTTATATCTTATACACTTTGTTCTATATTCTATGTTCTGCATTGCAAATACTGCATAATACAACACTCTGTATTCTTTATAGTATGTTATTTATTGTCTCTTCTATGTTCTCAATGGCTTATATTACATTATTGGTTTTGACATACTCAATATTCTAAGCTCTCTACTTAACCCTTGAATTTCAATTGATTACTTTTCATAATACTCAGCTTACTGAACTTACATTAAAGGCGTCCAAAATTTTCTCACACCTACAACCGCAAAAAATACCTCATATTTATCTTTTTTTCAAGAAGTAAATTTTTGTTCTTCACTTTCTCATGTTTACCCACAAGCTTCCAAATGTAGTCATTAAATTTCTAGTTGAGTGTGTGTCCTTGACAACAAAAACGTGGCAGTCAATGTTACGTGGCAACCACTTTTAACCACTTTAGCCCCCAAACTCAAAGCGGCTGGTTGGCAAAGTTTACTTCGGTATGTGCGAGAGTAACAACCGGAAGATTTCTGGTTGCCAGAGCTGTTGTAAATGTGGGTTAACTGGAAGGGGCAGTACACCGCAAAACCGTTGTTACTTTTATCATAATTTCAGCTCAGGCTCCGTAATTTTTATCTGTAATTTATGTTGGTTTTCTTTTCGGATTTAATTCCTTTTCCTTTTAGCACCTTTTTTCTGCTTGTGTGTGGCGTTTTTTTTGTCCTAATTTGTGTTGTTCATCTTTAACCTAAATTTTTGGTCTAATTCTGCGTACTTTATGTTTATACATATTTGCGTGTTAATGTGCTGTAAGTCAGCATTGACTACTTATGTAACAGAATTATATACTTGTATATATATATTATCGTTTAGTAATTTTTTTTGGAACACCAGAACAAAATATAGTATTTTCTATCTATTAAATTAACATAAACATCTCTCCTCCGTTTCTATGTATCTTCTATTTGTCCTCATATTTTTTCCCCAAAATCCTCTTGCCCATAATAACTTTCGGTAAACACTTTCTGATGTTCCTTTGTTTGCTCGTCTTCTTAAATAAATTATCATGTCTTACTTTAGTTACTTACATTGTTATTACGTTTCGTAAGCATGACTACGTATGTGCCGGACAATGGACATATACAGCGCGTTATATTTGTCATCAGATGCTTGGTGATACATAAATCCGAGCGCCAAGTTGACTCAAAGGAAGCTTTGTAGTCATGTCTGTAAATAGTAGAATGACAAAAAAAAAATTATTATATGTACTCATATTAATCAAATTTCTCGCATATACAACAAAAGAAAATCGCATAAGTGAAATGAAATCACAAACTATTGCAAAAATATTGTACACATTGAGACTTCCTGCGCGTATCGTACAGAACAAATTCAATTAGGAGAGGAATATGCAACTGTTTATTGGGTATGTATACTTGTAGAAGGTATCTTAAGTATAATTCATGGGTACCAATGTCGTTTAATTATATTTATTTAGTCAATTTGCTTACTAAAAGACTAAAAACAGGTCTAGTTTAGTTTAATACTCGTACTTTAACATATATTTGTTCTACGAATTCAATATGATATATTTGAAAATATCCTCCGTGAAGTTGATTTGGGCAGTACTTTTGAGATATGAGCTCATTTTTAAGAATTTTTTAATATAGAGTAATCGGCTACCGAAATTTTAAACGCTCTTTTATCGAAAAGTTGTTTTCAGAGTCTGTGAAGAAAATTTTATTCCAAACGGCGATCGACTTGAAATTCTCACAAAACCATATCACTTGAGAAATATCGAAGAATTGTTTTTAGAAGCCATAATTTCGGCAAAAATCAAAATTTTGACTAGTCATTCGATCATTATCTGTACTTATCTATAGCAATAATATATTTTTTGGAATTTTAAGCAGGAAAGTCTACTTCACCGCTGGCCAATTTTTTTCGCTGGACCACCTGGAGATTGGCTACGAGATCAAGTAAATACAAAATTTTTCTAATAAAATCGCTGATTATTAAAGTACATTAAGTTCTGTAAATGTAAATTACTTTTGTTGTTTATAAAATAAAATGTGCTTTCCAAAAACAAAAAAAAAAACAAAATTACAAATTTCCACGCTTGTTTTTTACAAGAATGTGAATATAACTATTTTAGTCGGTTTAGATTTATGTCATATTGTGATATCAATATATATTTTTCCATACTCATGATCCTTTAAATTTTTTAACTTTTCATTGAACAAAGTTTAAAACGATGGCTATATTTGTTAAATATGTTCAACTAAAAGCCTTCCTAATCTTTAATGCGATGCCCATATTTTAATAATTTTTTCTTTGTAGCTGTATATTACTGTATATTAAAATATAAATCTCAAATTGCCGGCAACTGAAATAAATTTTTAATGTTACATAACTTACCCACACACGGCCACCCAATCGCCATCCTTTGGTGCAACTTCGTGCTGAAATATGATCTCCACATGGCCGGCTTCGAATGGTAAATCGAATGGTTCTCGTAAATTATCGTTGGAGCGGTTCGATTGGAAGAGCCATGTTTGTAGTATGCGTGAAGCCAGAATGTAATCGGACCCTTTGGGGTCACTGTAGGGCAAATTGAGGAAAAGTAGAACGTGTTTTAATAAAAGCATATGTTTCAAATTAATATTTACAACATTAGTTCATGTTCTATTTGGTGTGGTGCAATTTACGTGCAGTATTTCAATATATTTAAAATTTGTCTTTACTTGTCATTGCACTGTTCATATACGAGTACGATATTTATAAATTGATGTCATTGGTATATATCGGAAATATTCGGGTATTGTATCTAAAATTTGAATTGTAAAATATTTTAAGAATTTGTGTCATGAAGCTTTTTGAATGTTAATAGTTTCGGTTAACAATTTTTAAGTCCATAGTAAAATTTTTTACGTATATATAATAAATATATAATTTTTTTGTTGCAAAATATATTTGTAATATTTACAAAATCCGAAATTTTCTAGATAATTTTTTTTTATTTGGTCTTTCTTTGGATGACAGATGGCTTTTATTATAACATTGATAATTCTGACTCTAAGTTATTTGCTAATAGAATTTACTTTTTAATTTTACATGGGCCATGTGTACCACATTTATAGATAAGCTCAATGTATACGGATTTTTTAAGAATGGTTGCAATTTTATTTTGATCATATTCGATTACATTTGTCACGGTGGAATTAAAATACTCGAATAATAATTAAGAGTTGTTAGAGAAGGCTTTAATCGATTTATGCTTAGTTTATTGAAAAAATAATTTTTTAATGCGAAAATACTGCAACCACATGAAAAGTAAGAAGTTTATTAGTTAAAAAATCTACATAAAGTAAAATTGTGTTTATTTCATCAATTTGCTTAGATTAAATTAAAATAAATTAGGCAACTTTTTTTAAAAATAATTTTGACAAATATTTTTAAACTCATGTAATTTATATAATATATGTTGAATCGAAAAACGAAAATTAATTAATTGGTGTCAATTCTTCTCAATCGCTCCGCCAGAAAATTCTTTTCTTAAAATATTTTCAACTTTCAACAGGCGTCGTAAGACAGCCACTCTACCTACCTTAACACGCTTTAATCTCTTTGGTTTGACACCAAAGTCGTAATAATATTTTTACTATAAAAAATATGGTCCTCGATGAGACCGCCATAAACTTCTCTTAGCTTAATAAAGTTTAAAATATTATTTATACTTATATTTTAAAAATTTTTAAACATGTGGCAACCTTTTCTAGCAATAATTCCAACTTCAAGTATTTTTAAATATCTTTAGTTTGACATCCACGTCTTAATAATATTTTTAATTAAAATATTTATTAAAAAAAATTTTTAACGGATGGTAACCTTTTAAAATAACTGGTGTCAGCTTGTTCAATGGCTTAGCTAGAAATTTTCTTTAACCTGTTAAATTTTGAAATATTATATAATATAATATTAACTCGAAGAACACAAATGTCAAACATGGCAACGCTTTCCTAAAATATTTTAAACTTTAAGTATGCTTAACTCCCTTTAGTTTTACACCCACATCGTAATAAATGCTTACCGTAATAATTTGCTTATGTACAATACAAAAATTTAAACGGGTGGCAACATTTTAAATTAAGTTTGGTTTTAAGTGATACAAGTATTTCAAAGAACCATTCAGAAAAAAAAAATATACAAACCAATTTTTCCGTGGAAATAAGAGCAAACAAGTATATATGTACTTCCTTATTCTGTGGACCATTATTTTCAGTTTCACCCTTACTATTGATATAAAACAATAGAGTAAAGCCTTTATTATACTCTGAGTAGGGTGTATTAAGTTTGCGAGACTACATCTATTTGTCAGTATCTACGTGAACTATTCCCTTAATTTTTAAAGATATCGGTGGGAAATTTTGCACACATCCTTTTCTTCGATACAAACTGAAGGATAAAAATCAAGTTTCGAAAACTTTTTTATATGACAATATATCTTCAGGCAATGTGACATGCATTATTGTCTCAGGCAACGCTACAATCTCCGAATATATTGTACAGATTGGACTACTAAAGGATATAGCTTCCAATATAAACGGACTTTATAACTCGTCCAGAAATAACCGAAATTTACCACCATATATACATACATGCAACCAGAAAAATTTGCTTTATTTGCTTTTCACGAAATTTCCATCTAATCGCTTAGTAAACATAACTGTTAAGTGATTTCGTGCTTTCCTAAATAAAATTCCCAACTAACTAACGGTCGCATATATAGAGCTGCAGACTGCATATACTAAATGGTCGCTTAGTTACTATCCGCATTGCTTATACAACAAGTTGGGGTTGCTGCAGCATACAAAAACAACTTAATTAACACAAAAATGCAAAAGCAGCAATAAGATATACATTTTTGTGCGTTACGTGATATGAGCATATTTACAATGTATGTAAGGATGTATGTTTTTATGTATACATATGTGCGCATGTGGTAATTTGCAAAATGCATGAAAAGCTTCGAAAATTCCCCAAAAATTAAAAAGTTCGCAATTTCAGCAATTCCATAATAATTTTCCTTCTTAATGCAGTGAAAAGCATTATTTACGTAACCGATTTCTGCATGACCGCAGTACGCACAGGACATAGACTATATATATGTATATATATATTATATGTATATATACATATAGTATATACATATGTATGTTTGTATGTATGCTTGTATATCAATCCATTTGCATCTAGCAGCAAATTCATATCTCTCCCTTTCATCAGCTAAATATCAGCCATCGTTCGAGGGTTGCTTGCTTGCCTGCAGCCTTACAGTGCACTGATAGCTGGCACGCAGTGAAATAACGGTGAATTCTGGCAAATTATATTCGTCGCGCACAAAATTCAATACTTGTATAAAATCCGCTCGCATTTGCGTGGCAAAAATAATTGTAAGCATTTTGTATGCAGCGCTGTTGCAGATTGACGTTGCCATAAAAAGTCAACAACAACAAAAACCACAATAGAAATAGCTTTGCATAATGCGTTAAAAGTTTTTCGTTTTGATTTATTCGCAAGCATGTGTGTATGTGTGTGTGTGCTCCACTCGCTCTGCTTTTGCTTGATTTGATGTGTCTCTGTTTTCGGATCGCATTGGTTGATTGCCTGCGTGGCTGCTGGGTTGCGCGCCTGGTTGATTACGTTTACTGATTAGCGTTAATTTTGTGGCTTCAAATTGGCAAATGCGCTTCCAATGACTAGATTGATTTGAGTTGTCTAGATATTTTTTTGTAGATTAATGCAATATTTGTGGGTTGACTGAAGCATCGGAATTTTTTGTGCTGAAAAATGCTAGCCTTTTTTTCGTTATAAAAAATGTTGATAAGGGTTTTTGTTACTCAATTTTTGTTGATTACAATTTCTATTGAAATTGCAAAGGCAAGAACAAATTTTTAATATGCAGAATATGAAGATATGGTAAATATACTGGTATAGCGATATTTTAAACTCCACTCCTCATACAAATATACATATGTAGGTATTTATAAATGATATAGTATTAGGTTATTTTTGATTTTAAATAAGAAAAAACAGTAACTTAGGTAACACCGAAGCTAGAATACCCTACACAAATGAAAAGTTTCCACAAAAGAGCTTTATTTTGATCGATCAGTTTTTATGGCAGCTATATGTTATAGTAACTTGATCTGAACAATGTCTTCGGAGATTATACCATTACCTTAGATAATACCTTCTGCCAAATTTGGTGAAAATACCTCGTCAAATTAAAAAGTTTTACATACATGCACTTGATGCTGATCGTTAAGTTTGTATGTCAGCTATATGTTATAGTAGTCCGGGCAGTTTCTTAGAGAGAAAAGGACGTATGCAAAATTTCAGATCGATATCTCAAAAACTGAGGGATTTTTTCGGATATTCTTGAAGATATCCCGACAAATGGAAAATTTTTCCATGCAAGCACTTGAAAAAACAATATTAGTAAGGGACATCTAAAAGTCAAAGTAAAATTTAGTGGTCTGAGTGGCCAGTCAATGGTGCTATTTCATAGTAAGTCTTCAATAGTGTTTTTGCCTTATCTGGCAAAAGCGCGACATTCGAAGAGTATGTTATTTTCTTCCATAGATCTAAATAAATCCCGGTCGAACAGTGTTCAGTTAGAACTCCTACAACCATTGCAATGTGAATCTTGCTGAGAGCGAAGAGTTCTCTAGACTTCTTACGATTTATTCAGGGCCAGAAGGAGCTTGCGACTGCACAGTTGCTAGTAGTTGACCAACGATTGTTGAGCTGGTCTGAGGCCTTTTCGGTTCTCATTCCGCAGTCATTAAAACCTAAGCCTTACAGTTTCCAGCAATATCGCGAACTAGATGCTATTGTCGCTACACTTATCAGATTGTATAGTAACCACTTGAAGGAAGCTGTGCTCCGGAACAGTAGATCTACTGTTGCTTTTACGGCAGCTACCTCCGCCTGGAAGATGCTGCTGTGGTCAGGAAGCTTAAAGCAGAAGCTGAAGGAAAGTTACCGACAGTTTACTGCTCCACCAAACCTTCCCGCAAACTTTAAATCATCAGTAAAAAAGCTCACCACCTCTCTTCTCCAGCGAGTCCTACCTTACCATGCCTCCCTCGAAGGTATGTGAGTAGAGAAGCGACAGCCAGGGCTAGGCTCGGCGACCTGGCAATCCAAGTATTTTAAAATGAAGTCAAAGTGTGCGAGTATTCCAGAGTGCCGAGGCACGCAGTCATCTAAGTATCCAGTTTCTTTGAGTTCATTCATGGAATTCGATTGGATTTTCTGTTTTCCAAATATGGACAAATTTCTAATTAGTTCGCCCTTCCTAGTCTCTTACCGCAAAACTGAATGACGATTTTCAATGCAAAGCTTTATCACAGTCATGACAAAATTTTTATATCTAAATGGGAGATGACATCCCTGTACGTACGCTTGTGTTCACTATATACTATGTGACCACGCTGAATGTATCAAATAAGTAATTTTAAATAATCTCTGTCTTCTCTTACTTTTTACGATAAATGAATAAACAATATATATTGTAACCTGGTACTAAATACCAGTCTACCAAAAAGTAAAACTATTTACGTTCACAAAATTCCACGCAACTTTTAGACATTAAAAATTATAAAAATTGGAGACTTCGCTTTTGACCGCTAAACGCTTGCAATGACTTTTGAAACTGCACTTTTCGCTACATATATATACACGGACATACATGCTACTCAGTCATTAACTGAGCCACTTTCCGGCACAATGCTAATGCTGTGCACAGCAGAGTGGTCATTTACTTAAATTTGAAAATTTTAAAATTGTTTTTGTTTTTTCTTAGCTGCACTTCTTCTCGTAGTTTAAATAAATTTCATGCTGATGTTCCTACTCAATCGCTTTTATAAAGTTATGCGCACAAGTTTAAGTCATTTGGCTATCGCATTACCCCATGGAAAATCAATAAAATCAAATTTATTCTGCATGTTGTAGTTGTAGTTGTTGTAGTGGCACTTAGTTTGGCGAAAGTTGAAAGTTTTCATAGAGACTGTCAAAAACTTAAAGCAGGCAGGCTATGATCGTTTGGGCGCGCTTGTGTTCGGACAAAACTTTTTAATCAGTGGCAACTCTTGGGAGAGCGCATGAAAAACAACAACAAAAGCACCACAAACATCGAGTACAATGAGAAGATATAAAATATATATTAACTGGCATGGCATATTTATTGATATTTGAGCAGACTTGTTCATACTGCAGCCAAGTGGTTATAGATATTTATATAAGGGTATCCGTTAGTTCCCAAGTTGACTTTTTTTTTTGCTAACGAAGTTTCAGTTTTTACCTTACAAAAATTATCCTGCCTAACCTTTCATTTTATTAATTCTCAATTTAAACCGTGCTTAGCTCGTGTTACTTTTCTCATTTATGTAACATTAGATTTTTGGATATTTTGCATTGTAAAATAAACCTACAATTTTAAAAAAGTGAAATTCTGTTTTCAAACTTTTTGCTTTACAAAAAAGGTTTTGATAGTTTTTTCATAAAATTACACCTTTAAAATGCAGTTAAATTTAACATCGCATAACGTGAACATTCATACAAGTGCTTCATACATTCTGTGTTGCGCATACCACATGGTGTACTATATCCAGCACATTTAATCCATACCTTTAACTGTGTATATCTTATAAAATAGTAGTTTTATGAATAAAAAACCTTTTTTGTAGCGCAAAAAATTTAAAAATAGAATATCACTTTTTCAAATTTGTAGGTTTAATTTGTAAAGCAAAATATCAAAAAATCCATTGTTATATACATGAGAAAAGTAAGATAATTTGGGCACGGTTTAAATTGAAAATGAAGAGTTTGTTTACATTAGATCCATACTTTTAGGGAAAAAACTGCAATTTCAAAGGACATCTGCAACAAAAAGTCTACTTATGAAACAATGGACACCCTAATATACACACACCTCTATTTGTATGTTTGTGACAAAAATTCTTTGCGCCAGATTGCTGAGGTATTTTATGGAAAAAATTTTTTTTAGAAATCTATTAGCTCTGTTTGTGCGGAGTCGACCATTTATGCACATATATATCTACGTCTAACGGTAATTGTTACGCACATTTGCTTCAATTCACCTTACTTACTTTCACTAATGAATTGTCATATCGCTTTGTGCGTAGAAAAAACTTTCCATTTTACTTTACTTTCGAATAATTTCAAAACTACCAAATTGCTGTCATGAAATTAAAAGCTTAAAGCCAAAGTTTGAAGACATTTTGCTAACTTTCGGTCATTACTACGTTCATTTCACACAACTTCATCTGTTCAGTTCATATTCTTCTATGGCAACTAGCTAACTGAGCGCTCTTGTGCAACTTACCTGCCGCGTGTGTAGTAAGTTTTTGGTAGAAAACTTTTTAAATTTTTATACGAGATAACCGATGCGAATATCGTCGAGTTGGCCATTATGTTGAGCAGCCGATTGGAGAGTCCGATGTCCATGTAAAGTTGATCCGCGAACAAATCATCGCTGTGGACAAGAAGCGAAAAATGCGAAAGAAAAATAATAATTAGTTAAAAATGCGAAATTTTTCTACTGTTTTTATTAATGTTGCTTTGAGTGGCAGTCACGAAATGTTGGTTATTCCTTTTTTATCAAAGAATTAAAAAATTTGAGATAAAAAAGTTCTACATTTCGTTTCAGCGAAACAAGCAGCATGACTCATTGTGTTTGTATGAGTATAATGAGTTATTGTGCACTTAATTGCATGAGAATATGAAGAATATTCACTTATATAAAATATATAAAGTCAAGCCAAAAAGTCGGATTTTACATTTACGATACGATATATCAGGTATAATGGCTAGGAGAAGATCGGCACTGATTGTATTTAGCTTTGATATTAAACTAAAGCATACTCGAGGTTATATTTCCACTTAATTTTATTAATATTACTAAAAATTTTATCGACATTTTTGACACAGAGTCCACCAAAATAATGATAATTATTATAGGTAGCATATGGGGGCCAGGGTAATTCATCGACCGGTTTCATCCATTTCGGAACCTAACTGTAGTTTAATTAAGAGTATACGCTTAGTTTATTTTGCTAAAATATCTTAAGTATTGACCAACCTGTGATGAGGTGACCAGAACAAATACTGAGCCGATTTCATTAGGATTTTTTGCGACAGAGCAAATTTTTTGCATTTTATTTAAATAACCACAAATTAGGCTATATTTTTGGCAAAAAGTCAGCCGAATGATTGAAAATCTTAATATACGTACACTAAATTTTATTAACATAACAAAAAATTAGAACGATATATTCGGCACAGAGTTCCCCCGTAAACGATATTAATTAAATTGGTTATATGAAGGCAAGAGTAATTTATGCATCGATTTCATCCATTCCCGAAACAAGCTTCAGTATATCCAAGATTATATGTTCACCGAATTTCGAAAATATATAATACGTATGGACCGATACATACCATATAAAGCCAACCCGAAAGTTTAAACATTCGTATATTAGGCAAATGACGGCCAGGAGAAATACCGAATAGAGTTTACCAAGTTTTGGCGCCAGCGCATATTATAAACAAGAAAATATGCGCTCTGCATTTCATTAAGATATTTCACAGGCTGACCTATAGGTATATATTTTATAAAGTCAAGCGGAAGTTTTAAAAATAATAAATTAGGTATGTGGTAGCTAAGGGAAGTATTGACGCGATTTTATTATTTTAAGCACAAGAACACACTGTCATTAGAAAGAGATACGCTCTGAATTTCTTTAAGATAACTCACATATTAATCGATATGTTAATATATGCAGAATAAAGGCAGCCTGAAGTTCGAAACTTTTTATATTAGGTATATGGGAGCTAGTAGAAATATTGAACCAATTTTGCCCATATTAGACACACAGGCACATTATTAGTGGAAAAATATTCTCCTAAAATTTCATTAATGTAACTCAACGAGTAACTGATATTTTCTGCAAAAATTAAGTATTGCCTCTTAGGTAGACACTGAGGCTTGAATAGTGATTGTCTAATTTCAAGCATTTTTTATTATAGGTGTCACAATTTGAAACTAATATTTGCGGAAAACTTTATTTTAATATCTTTATTTTTAATTTATTTACTGTAAGGTGAAAAAAGTTATTGAAATTTAAATTTTATTAAATGAAAAGTTGTGAATAAATATAAATAATAATATAAATATAACATTCGTAAGAATCAGAGAGAATGGCGTGATTTTGGTCCAATTTTTTCGATTCTCGGTATTTTGTAGAGTGTTTTGTCCATTTGCAACAAAACAATCAAAGTGTCAAGGCACACGTGTATCAATATTCATCAAGATACCTAAATTTTTATTGAAGTTATGGCTTGGACGAATAGGTGAGCAGACGGACAGGCAGCCGGAATTCAAGGCGTCTCGTCTTCTCCATCATTTATATATATATATATATATGTATATAAATCTAGATCTAGATCAATATTGGTTTTGGGTGTTAGAAACAACCGTTAGGTAAATAAATTACTATATTCTGCGCAAGATGTTGCGTGATAAAAAAATTGAAATTCAAAAAATTATAAATAGATACCGGAGCTTGTTGAAGCAGCTTTCGTATACACTTAATCTCTAAAATTCTAATGTTTTTAAGTTAACTGCTTTTAGCTCACGTGCCAATCAAAAATTAAATTTTTTAATCCAAGATTCTATCCATTTAATTCTTAACTGTATTATCCCTTCTTACTGTATAGTAATTAATTTTTTTTTAGTCTTTCAAAATAAATTTTAATATATTTTTAGATTCGACTCTAACGGAATTGTATGTATATATCACCATCTCATTACTTTACAGGCTTATATTTTTAATATTCTAAAAAATGGTTTGGTATTGCAAATCTCTAAAAATCCAGCTGTACCCCCAACTACCACATATTCAAGGCTAACATAAACCCCAAGGCTAACCACAATTCCCAACAAACAATAACACATTCAACTCAACTAAGTAATCCGCCAAACCTTAACTGTGTGCCTTAGTATTATATATACTTATATAAGATGAATATCTGTGTGTGTCGGTGCTGCCACACTAAATTTCGCTTAACGTTGCAAAGTAATTGCACTTTGTGGCATCTACTTTTTGCTGCTTGATTTCTTAAATTTTCCAAAGCTAGCGCTATTACTATAACCAAACCCACACAAAGTGGCGTTTGCCACACTCCACACGTTCCTTACAAAGTACGAACACGGGCCAACACATTGTTTGCACACTTACCCGTAGATCCTCAAATTAAACGGCAACGTTTTCACCGAAGTCATATAGATGCGCAGCGAGTTTAGACGATCCAACGACAGTGAATCCTCATCGACCGTGAGAATGCTGCTGCCAGCAACAGCATTGCCATTGCCACTGCCACTACCACCGCCACCACCAACAGTGGCGGCATCGTTGCGCAGTAGTGTTGCCAGCGCCGAATTCGCTGCGGTGGCGGAGGAGCGTGCCGGTGACATGGCATTACCACCAGCTGTTGCCGCGCCTGAAGTAATTTCTGTTTGTGTTGTTGTCGCTGAAGCTGAAGCGCCGGCTGCGGATACTGATGATATGGCACTATTGTCGGCTGTTGCTGCTGCTGCCGCTGCCGCAGCTGCTGCTGACGTGGATGATGTTGATGTTGCTAATTGAGATGCTGCAATTGTTTCACGGTTCAACGCTGCGGATTGTGTTAAGAGTTGCAATTTTTTAATTTGCTGCAAGTGAAATTGAAAAGTGAAACACGAGTGAGTGAGTGAAAAAAAAACAAACTGTAAATACGTGTATAAGCAAGTTAAGTGAAAGGTAATCGCCAGTGTTGTGTTGAAGACGTACATAATTAAATTACGTGTAGAGTTTACTTTATTGAGTGGCAGCATTGCTGACGTGAGTGATTTACTGTGGCACACCAGTCACAATCTAACTTGGGAAATTAAGTTGAAGACAGATTGGTTTCGGGGCTTGCGCCACAAATCCGAGTTGTAAGTGAGTTTTTGTATTTTTGATTTCAGTTTCGTTATTTTGTGTTGAGTGAAGTGTGGCTAGGTTACGTTTTTTCCAACTCAGTGCAGGCTAAAGTGCGCTGAGTTTGGTTTGGTTATGGTAAAGTTTTGGTATTTTCAAGAATTTAGGTTACGTTTAATTGTTAGTTTTGTTGTATATATATAAAATGTAAATCTCAATAGCACAAACCAGCAAGTTGGTAAATTTTTAGCGCTGTGGCTGTAGAAGGAAGAAAATATTGATACGCCTTTCTTACTAAGTTTAAACTGAAAATCTCTTGAGTAGTTGTGAAGGATTTTTTGGCGCTTAGGCCGCTTTAATTTTTTAAATTTGCTACAAAGTATTATAAATAGCTGAAATAGTAAGAATATCGAAACCACATTAAGTTAAGTTAAGCTTAATTAAGAGAAATTAATCTAGATTAATTTAGATTAAGTTAAGGTGAAGTCAAGCTTAGTGTAGCAAGTTAACAGTTTCGCAGACTTATTTCTTCAACTTTTTAACGCGTCTGTGCGAGTCTGTGAGAATTGTCCGGTATCACATCAAGTGTTATGCGAAAGCTGTTGATGTTTACGATTGTCTAAGGGGTTACCAGGGCATCATGGCTTCAAAAAAAAATTTTGTTTATTGTTTCATTTAATTCTATAACATCTCAGAATATCGTCCTAAATTCTCAAATAACAATAATAGTAACAGTAATAGTTTTGGAGACACAGCTTTGAATTGTTGCACGCTCGAGGTTAGCTATATAATCACATGAAACTTTAAACGCGTTTTTCTCAAATCTTTCAAAGTCGATTGTCAAGATTTCGCACGAACTACTCAACCGATCTTAATTTAATTTCACACACTTTACACTTTGAGATATAATTTCGTGTCGAGGAGGATTTTTTTGTTCAATTACAACTATTTAAGAAACTAAAAAACCTCGAAAAATTTTCACCCAAATTTGCATGTTTTTGTAAAAGCACTTTATTGTTTTTTCTCCATCTCTATACCTAGTTAATAGTCTTAATACAAACAATTATTTTTTTCTTTTAACTTTTGATGATCCTGTCAGAAATTCTGCTGTCAACGCTGCTGTCCGAGGAACTACCGGAAATGACGCCGTATTAACCGAGTATTGGATATTTTCCTTTGAATAATCTTTAAACCGTTTACATTGAAGGGAAAACGTTTTTCAAGTTCTTTCTAGCAACATGTCGCTTGATATAAACAACTTTCAAACCAAATAAAGGTGACTTAGTAAAGAAACAAATATCTTTTATGCAGGCGTTGACTTGTTTATACAGACATACAGACAACTCTCGTTGTTGATTTACGTGAGTTCTTCCTGCATTTAGGTTTCAACCACAGCCACCACGAATCTCCCCAAAGGGGCCATAACCCAATGAGCTGATTTGACCGAAGTCCAAGGGCTTTCTGCTCCCCGTGGCCAGTGGAGCAACCCATTACTCAATGACTGGTGACATTTGTCGCTTGAACTTCAAATGCATTTTTATTTGGGATTTCATTTAAAGTCTATAATATCAGTTCAAGCTGAGTATTATAGCACTATTTCTGACATCATTTACTATGCTGATAATTCTGGGCAAAATAAATTAACAGTCATAGTGCATTTGGCTTTTAGTCGCCTCTTACGACAGGTATGCTTTACCGCGGGTAAATTCTTACCCCTACCCGCAGGGGGAAGACATACAGACAATCCTTTATGGCATATTCGACGTTTCCTTCTGTGTCTTACAAACTTTGTGATAAAATTAATATAAGAATATATTTTTCTTAAGTCGCCATAAACTATAAATTAACGCTTTCGTTTTGAATACAAAATGCTGCAGTGAAAATTTATAAAGATTTGTAGCCACTACTTTATCCTCTGAAAGTAATAATATTTTGAATTAAAAATTTAGACAGAGTTGTAGCCATTACTTTACCCTCTGACAATTATAATATATATAGTCAGACAGGCATAGTATTTAGATATAATAAATTGCTTTTATATTTGTAAAAAGATGAGCAGCTAACAAGCATGAAATCAGTCTTTATCGTAAGTAACTTGGAAATTTCGCAAAATATATTATTTCATCTTTCCATTTGATTTCATACATAAGCACATTGTTTTTAACAAAATCAAATATGTATATCTTCTAAAAATAAATACAAATTTGTCTTAGCAAAATCTTAAGCATGGGAAATTTCATGAAATTTTATGTCTATAACTTATGTATGGTTGTCAATATATTTTCCTGCCGACTGAACTGTAATAAATTGGCTAAGTTCAGCTCAGTCAAAAAGTCAACAAATAAATCCGCATGAACATGAAATACTTAAACGTTATAAATAAGATGATACAGAAATTAAGCACCATGTAATTTACATGTCAATGTCAAGCCTGATTTGGCAGAGCGGATATTGGTAGCACAGATAAACTGTAGATTGTTATTGCCCGCATGCGTCTCTGCATTTTATGCTGAGCTGTCAATTTGTTAGTCATAAATTAAGCAAACAAATTGATCGAATGATGCAATAAATAAATAAAGGCAAATATATTGACGTTTTTGACAAATTTATTTTTAATTGAGACTAGAAAAAGTTATCACAATTTATTTGCATGCAAAATTAGGTCAAAGTCAAAGACTATATTTATTATTAAAGCCAATACTGCTGTTTGCCTTTCACATAAGGTTAAAATTTATCGCTTTTTTTATTAAGAATTTTTTTGATGTTTAAAATTTGTTTCTTTATGACTCTTCGGCTCTTATGTTTGCACGCTTCTGTTCATGTGTTGGCGTACTCGCAAAACACCTCCTTCTCTTAAAGCTCTACTCAGCATTTCACAAAGCCATTACTTTAAGTCAATAAGCAAAACTTGAATTATTGCTTCGATTCGTTTAGTGAGCTGTCTGTTGGCTGTTTTTCTTGCAAGCTTTAAACGTTGTTCCCTTTCTTTTCTTGTTAAGTTATTATGGTACAACCCTGTACTAGGCAACTTGAAACAAAATTATTACTCATAATTCATATTTAATCTCTTGATATCGACATCGAAAATGCATTTTACGCACAAGTAATAGAGTACTAAATGTGTGAACGACTTTATGAGCCGTGAAATGGTATTTATGAAAATAGAAAAGATTTTTCTCTTGTAAAATATGTATTTATATGTTAGCAGAAAACGTTGGAAAAATATTTATTTCTGGCAGGTTAAAAACGTTAAGCAGAAAAGCATTTTAATGCTTCTTAAATACAAATATTGTTAAAAGATTCATGCAGTTAATGGCTGGGTGTATGTGGCGTATGAGTAACCTTAAATATGTTTGAAATAATATTCAAATATTTACTTCAAATTTTACTATGTTATTTTTAAAGGTATATACTAGCAATTTATGCAAAAACCAAAAACGAATGGTTTTTCGAAATTTTAAACTAGGTGTTTCCTTTAATATAACAAATTGTGCTAAATTATTGAAGCTTTCTAAATAAATAAATAAAAATTCAAAAAAATATATTTTCTTTTACAATTCTAAAGCCGATTAACAAAAATACTTAGCAATTCTCGCCAATTTTCATTTAATAAATTCTGCTAGTGCTTTCCAATATTAAGTTAATAGCAAAAATTTAGAGCGCAACACTTAAAAACTATTTCCGAAAATCATCCATTACCGAATTTAGAAATATTTTTAAAATTTTTTGTACAACAAAATTGAAAATCCTCGCTCCTTCGATTAACCAATCAATGCTTGTATATATATACTTATAGATGTCTGTCACGCATTTTCAACCGCAACAAACAGCAAATTGCTATCTTTCCCAAATTGCTGGAATTTATTCGTTCTGCACATTGCAATCGCGCCTGCATCTATGCTATTGTACAAATCTCGACGCATTAAATTGTTAGAAGCTTTCGTTTGTTAGTTCAATTCGTGCATCATTGTTGCACTAAATTGAATTTAAATTTTTTACAAGCTTTGGAACAATCAATAGTTCAGAGACAACATATAGCAGACGTGCAATATATATATTTAATTAGGGTGAGCCAAAAAAAAAATTAAATTAACGTATTTATAGCTTAAAACAAAGATAAATGCAGAGAAAAAAATATACTTCCAAGTCAAGATTTTTAGCCTTTGAGAGGTGCTTGGTGAGTATTAAAAAATTTCAATTGAAATATAACCAAATTTTTTTCATTAAAATCGCATAGCTTTTGTGCTGTTTAGCATACAATTTTGCAAACTTCGAATCCTTGTAGAGTATAAAGTTTATTAAAAATTCAACCTAGGGGGACATTTTTTTAGTTAAAAAATACTTATATTCAAAAGCTTTGAGAAGTGAAAAAATCCATTTATTTTAGTTTTTTTTTTGAGTCACCCTAATGTAGATAGTAGTGTATATGTAGTGACTGACAAGAGTGTAGAAAAATGTATAGGATATACAAATGCACGCTCGTGTGCTTATCTATGTATATGAAGTAATAAACATACCCAACCAGAAATTGCAATAAGTGAAAAAAATTAAACATTTTTCTTTAGCGAATATTTATGGATCGAGATATTTTTTAACATATTTGTCTACAATAATAAAAAAGAAACAACTATTGTTTCCGAAAAACTTTGTACCCCTAATTAGATCACATCTAATGATAATAATAAATTTTAAAATGACATTCTTTCTAACCAAGTACCACTCAATGAATAACTGAATATTTTGCTCACTTTTAATTTTTTGCTAGGTGGCAACTTTATGTCAAAATATACATAAATCAAAATTTTCCAGAATATATCATATTGCTAACTGTATTTTATAATTTTTTGTTTAAATGGCAACTCTAAGACAAAATCTGTATATATCAGAGTCATTTTATACATTTCTGGTAGAGGGAAATTTGTTGAAGAAATATGCACAAATCAAGAATTTTCAGAATATATCAATTTGATACCTGCAATTTATAATAAAATCAGAGATTTCCAGAGTATATCAAATATATCAATTTGATAACTATATGTTATAATTTTTTGGTAGATAGCTATGCAAGCTATGCCAAAATATGCATTAATCCGAATATGTCAATTTGATGGCTGTATTTTCTTATTTTGTTTTAAAAATTTTAAAAATTTAAATTTTCTCAACACTAAAACAAACAAAAAATTCCTACTGGGTGTGTATTGCAAAATTACATATCAGCTAACTGTGTATTGGCAACAGCGAGTGAAGTGCTGTGGAATAATAAATAAAAATTTAAACTTGTAGTGGAAATCAAAATAACTTTGGCACCGAAACAGAAGTGAAAAGCGATGGTTTGGTAGATCAAACTATCGAAAACAGAAGCGCCGATGCAATCACTAAAATGCGGCGTAACATATAAATATACATATGTGTATGCGTGAATTTCATGCTTTCGCATAGAATGCCACGACATGTGCAACAAAACGACAAATGGCAATTCGGCGCGGCGAGCGGTGCGCAACCAAATGGAAAACAGCGAGTTTCAAACTATCTGCCGGTATTTGTATTACGTATATTATAGGCAGACACACACATTCTATACAAACATATAAATATAAAAAAATACATAGAGCTGAATATGCAACATGTCTCCCCCCTCCCCTCAAATCATTGGCATGAGCCGCGTTTGCCGATACTGTAAGCGCGTATGCGCGTTCCTCTGTGCATTTGCCACATTATCCACATGCCATTGCATCGCGTGCAACGCTCAACGATTTCTTCTAAATTTGCTGCAAACAATGAGGCAAAGTCGAAAGCAACAATTGCTGCTGCTGTAACTGACGCCACGTCCCCCGCCCCGTCGATGTACACGCACGTTACAGACATTTCGCTCTCGTTGCTGCAGTTGCACTGGTAGTTGTTGTTGTTCTTGTTGTTGTGCGCGTTAAAAGTCATTGCATGCGTCAGAGCAAGATTTTCGACGTCAACGCTGCCAAACTGCCAATAAAGTTTCGCAAGTTATTGGCTTTAGTCAAAGCGTAGTCTTCCAGTTTCTTATTGCCATTGTTGTTGCCGTCGCCAGTTGATTGCTTCAATTTGGTGTGTTTGTTTTTGTTGTGCTGCCGCTCTCATGCGGATGTTATGTCGGCGCAATTGCTTGTCGTGACTTTGATGTAACGCGATTATTTCTTGGTTTTTTGATTGTGCGCCTTCATTGAAGGAAATCTAATTTAACGGCATATGCGTATGTGTGAGTGTATGTATCCAGTGGTATATATATGTATATGTATATATTAAGGTGTCTAATACATCTTAGGTATTTACGAGCTTGTAACAGTAACAAATTTCCTTAAGCTTAGAAACTTCGAATCCTTTAATATTTTATTTGTTAAAGGAGGAATGAAGGAAAATCAGGGCTTTTCTAAACTATTTTACATATAGTTCGTGAAATACACTCTACTTTTTATGCGTATTATTGTGTTTGGTCTTTTAAAATGTTGTCAAAAATTTAATAATTCCATTTTCGATCGAGAAAATTCATTAAATGATTTATTTTAATGAACTGGGTTCATTAAAAACTGATGATCGGTAAACCCAAACAATACTCAAAGTAGAGAAAATTAGTTAATGGAAACGGGATGCACAAATCGAAATATAAACAAATAGAAAGTATTATTATTGTAAACGCGTTTTAAACAGAATTCAAAAGGGAAACAGAATCGCAACATTTATTATTTTTTAACTAGCTGGTACTCCTTTACTCTCATAAAAATCTAAAATAAAGACATATTCTAACTAAATTGATTAACAGAAATTGAAATTAATCGAATCTGGAACGGAAACGAAATCATATCAACATAATTCGAATAAAAACATGCACAGAACGAAATAAAGCTTATTACGAATATGAAGAAAAACAGAAAATGTTTAAGAAGCAGTTTATGTGTTGATAATACTTCTAAAATAAAGTACCGAAGAATTATTGAAAACAGAAACAATGAAAAGTAACAGATACAACTCAGAAACATAATTGGTGAACAGAAACAGAAATGTTAACGATTTGCATTATAAACCGAAACCGAAATTCAACTCAAGAATAGAATTGGTGAACAGAAACAGAAATGTTACCGATTTTTTATATAAAGCGCTTAGGCATTAATTGAAATGATCAGAAACAGAAATACAATTTAGAAACAGAAACAGAAATGCTAGTAGTGAAAAATGAAAACAGTACAACAAAAAACTGCTAAGTTCACATAACCTATGTTTTATCATATTTTTCTGAACAGTCCGACATAGGAAACAATCTTGAGGGGGATACTTTTTGCTGTATAGCTACTTCAGTTTTAATATAATATTTAAAATAGCTGTCGTGCAAGCGTTTTTAAAACGTTTTTTATGCAGTTAAAAATGTGTGTTTTAAAAGTTTAAACTTTTCTGCTCACAAATTGCAATGGAAGAAAGTCATAGACGAGTTTAATGCGCTTACCTGTTGGCTATTAAGTGATTGTGTATTTTGCATGACTTTGTCGAGAATGTGCAAAATTATTTCGGCTGCCATCTCACGTTCCAGCTGTGTGCCCTTTAGTTGCAGATACGTATCGACCTGGAAAGGAGCAAGAGAGATTTTGAATACAAAGTGAATGTCAAAAAAAGAGCAAGAAATGAAAGAAAGTTGTAGACTTTGATAATATTCATAGGCCAGCAAGAGTACACTGAGAGAAATTTAATAAAAGTTTATTTCGAGAAATTATTTTATATATGATACATTTTGTGATGAGATTTTCGGAAAATTTATTTTTGAAAATTATTGCAAAAACTATGATGCTTTCCTTGAGAAAATAAGGATAATCACCCAGTCGAACAAAGTTATATGTGAAGTTTCAAAGTCACTCATCATCTCAGTTCAAAAAAGTAAGGGGTCAATTATAAGGCTAAGCACATACAAGTAGTGGCGTGACAGTAGGTGAAAAGTCTGAATGTCAAAGGCTAGTACAATAGTTATGCTAAAGTTAAAAGTCTGGAAATATCAAGTATATAAATATAATTAATTGATCAACTCCTCCAAATACTTTTAAGGCTTTAAATTTAGCAAAATTTCCCGATTACTATATATCTTTAAGCATATTTTTCGTTTAATATCTGAAGTATCTAGCAATCTGGGCTATTTAAATATTTCTTTACATCGAATATTTTCTCTGAGTGACTTAGTTTCACTATTCCACATGAAGTTGTCTGCTTTTACGGCACATCCTGCACGAAAGTTGCAGCAAAACTCAGTTAAAAGGGCGCTCAAGGCCCACTAACTCACACACATGAAAAAAGGAAAGTGTTCGCTGTGTATGAAAGAGCAAATAACTTCCGACAAAAGTGAAATCTAATAAAGTACGATTTTTTTCTCAGCAAGCAAACGCATTTTTTCCATAATTTGCTACCTTGAAGAGCGAGCACATATGGCATATGCACCGTTTGCCTGATGGAACATGTGAAAATGCAGGAAGCGAAGACGTTCGAAAATTTGTGGTTGCTGTGAATTGGTCGTGTGTGCATTAGAATGAAAAATTGCACTTGCTGAACTATGTAAAGAAAACTGTTTTTGTCGCCGTCATCAGCAGGCTCACCATTATCAGCATTGCCATCAGCAGCATCATCATGAGCACCATTATTATAAGCAACTGCATGATGTTGTTGCTGATCTTCGTTGACTTATAAGGGAGCCTCTTTGCTTTTCAGATGAGCTGCCACTTTTGTTATTTATATGATTTGTTGCTTTTGTGCTCCTTTTGCTATTCCATTCTACGCTACCGTTAGCGCATTCACTTTCTGTTTGGTTTGTGGCAAAATGTTCAAGCAGTGGTTGCGTGCCACAAGTGTGGCTGTAGTTAAAATGTGGCAGTGGTTGTTGCGGCCGGCTTGCACCTGAACAAATTTGCGGCTTTTGCAATGCAAATGGTTGGTGTTGCAAGTGAATACAATCGTTTTTATATTCAGTTGGCAAATATTTTTATGAACACTTCCTTTGTATATGTATGGGAACTTGTATATTTAGTTTATAATGCTTTTGGTATGCTGCTGCACAAAGTATGCGCTTCTTATTATTAGTTATTCACATTTAAAATAAATATATTTTTAAGTTCTATATCTTTATAGTAACATTCAACTAAAAATTTTACTACTAGACATCAACCAAAGCAGTAAAGGATTCGGAGGATCACGATTATAGACAAAGTGATTTTCTAACAACAGCCTCTCGACATTAAATTCTTAAACTCCAAGTGTATTTTAGACTTAAAAAAGTTTCTCACAAAATCAATTATTAATTGAGAAACAGATGTGTCGTTTTGAAAACCAACGAAATGTAGTCTTAAAGACTCCGGACTCGGTACAATGACCAAAAGAAAATCGCAGCAAACAACTACTGCTTCTCAACTTAAGATCGTTTTGAGAGCCAAATCAGAATTGTTTGCATTCCATTGACAATTTTGATTACTTAAAATAATCAATGTAATCGGTCGATTGGTCAGCAAATACGCAGCACTGGTATGGTTGCCTGGATGTAGTCAAACGCAGACGCGGAAGCTTCAGGTTTTTACAGGATTACGATTACAGGATACCTCGCGATAGCTCCTGTCGAACACCTAAATTGTGAGACCTATATGCTTTCGGTTGAGGAACATAATGCACTCCTCTCCGAGCAGCTTTTGTTTGGCTGTTTATGTTGAAATTATACCTGCAGTCGTCAGTTTGAAGCGTTAAACAATGCATGTCCAATCAATCGCACTCATCTAATACCCCTCTCCCTATAGTCCCACAACGTAGAGACAGTAAATTTCCTATGCCTACCGTTAGATGATTTTGACGACAACCAGTTTGAATATTACCACCCAAGCGGGAATTAAATAACCGCTACAACAGCAACAATATCATTTAATACTATTTTATCTCATTGCTGAGGGTTATTCGATATGCTCAGGACACTTGTTTGAATATAATTTTTCACGAATTTTTAAACGTTGTTTCAGTTTTCATGGTAATTTGCTAAAATATGCCATACATAAATATCAAGCACAAGTGTTTACTTTTACAGCTGGTTAACAGTTATCCGATTATGAAATTATATATGACCATAAAATCATGTGAGTCATCGAATCGAGTTGATTTAGCTGGTTTGCCATTGTAATGGGTTTTCACCAAAGGAAATTCCACTTTACCCGCTTAGAGTGCCATTTTGAAAAATGAGCACAAAGTGACACATGTGACAAATTACATAAGAAAAACAAGTAAGGAAGAGCTAGGTTCGGGTGTAACCGAACATTTCATACTATTGCAACTTACCAGGATCAAAGCCAGGGAAATACATTCAGGTGATTAGGTTTGTTAGAACAATGAAAATCAATATATATAGTATATGGTGGTAATTTGTGGACCAATTTTACATATTTTTGGCATTAAACTAAAATATAGCCATATTAAACGTTCAGTTAATTTTGCTAAGATATCTTACTTATTTGCCGATATATGCGATATACCATATTAGATACATGGGGGCTGAAGGAGTTATTGACCCGATTCAACACATTTTTGACATGCAGGCATATTATTATCAGAAAATGATCCTCTTATAATTTCTTTATATAACATATTTCACAGATTGACCGATATTTTCGATAAAATGTTCGCTGTAGGAACTGGGGTCCCCGTATTCAATATATGGTGGGTTGAATAGTTTTGGTCCGATTTGAACAATTTTTGATCATAAAGTGGCACAGTTATACATGCATAGGTGCTCGATTTGCATACTGGAAAGTGAAAGAATCAGATGGATGTCAAGATAATACTACATTCTAAATTTGGTCGATATTAATCTAGTAGGTCCTGAGATATATGCTTTCACCGAAATGTGGGCGCAATACCCAACTCTCTTGAGTGCCAAGGGATATATGTACCAAGTTACAGCAAGATATCTCAATTTTTACTCAAAGTATCGCTTGTACGGACCGACGGACGGAAGGACAGACAGTCACCCAGATTTCAACTTCTCTCGTCACCGTGGTCATTTATATATTTATAACTCCATATTTACCTCGATTAGTTTTAGGTAATACAAACAACCGCTAGGTGTACAAAACTATTATACTTTATAGCAACATGTTGCAAGCGTATAATAACAAAAAGCGCGAAAAGAAATGCGGAAAGTAGCATAAAGCGAGTAAAAAAAAGAAATTAAAAGTATCGTCACCGAAACTTGTGTATTTTATGAAAAAAAAACGGAAATTTTTTTCCTATGAAATATAAATATTTTTATACATTTTCATAAATAAATAAGAATCACCATTGCAATGCAATATTTAAAGGTCTTAAAAAGCGCTTTACTCACAAGTCACACGCGGCGTACGCTTTATCTCGACCACAGCACAGAGCACATAAGGTGTTTACGTGACACTTTTTATACCGAATGCAGTTTTAAAATGCACGTAAACATTTGCCAAACAATACCGTTGTGTGCTTGACACACATTAAATAAATATAAAAAGCGATTGCTTTTACTACCCAGAACATTTTGCAGCGCACATTTTATACTTGCGGAGATTTTAGGTCACCAATAACAACACACGAAAACAAAAACGTCTGCACTCTCGCACTTGGTACTCACCTCATGCAGCATATCGATGAGAAAGCCCGCCTCGCCGGGTAGAAACCGCTTATGCCGCTTGGCCGTATATGCGAAGCAGGCCTTCAGTATAGCCGATGAGTTGGTCTGCTGGTAGCCGGCGCTTAGTGCACGAAACTTATTGTAAATCAGCAAAAGTTGATCATGTACGCAAAGCGAAAAATCGGGTAACAGCCATGTCGAATTTCCCGTATCGCGGCTTTCACAAATGCGCCGCGAGTGGCCCTCGAATCCGCGCGGACAGTCAGCAACAATGGCGGCGCCTGGTGCACTTGTCGGCCAACGGACACCGTACAGCGTGTCACTGTGGCACACACGTACCGCATTGCGGTCGATAACTGTAATGTAGACGCTCTTCGATACCGGCCGTACAGTGTTGGAGACAATGCATGTGTACTCGGCGGATTTCTGTGTGAACAAAAGAGCAGCAAATATATTAAAAAATTTAAAAATTATATATATGTAAAAGGGTTTTGTATACGTAAAATATATAAAAAAAGCTTATAAGTATTTACTACGTAAACTTTAAAGCTTCTTCACTTTGTGCTTTAAGCTCTCTCACCTGTATGTTGTTAATTTTCAGTATGCTTCCATCGGGATAAAGATCTTCCCACATCACTGTGGCGGGATTCGATTGAAAGAGCACACCGTTACGTGTCCAGCTGTAACCGAGTTGTGCGTAGCGCTTAATGTCGTCATTGCCGGGGGAGAGGCAACGCACACGCAGCGCATCTCCGCGTTGCAATGTCACACTGGCGGGATCGACGCGTAGGCGTGGCGGCGTTTTGATATGCACATGTAGTGAGCGACACTGTTCGATGCCCCAATCGGTGACCTGCGAAAAAAGTAGACATATTCTGAAGTTCAAAAATGTTGATTTTTAACAGCGAGATATACATTTTTTTCAGTAGTACGACTAACATTATTTTATGCGTATCTTAGACGCTTTTTCACATTTTAAAAATCATTCGAACTTTCTCAGTCAGTAAGAAAAGAAGTTATTCGAGCTTTGGAAGCTCCTAAAAGCTTCTGTGATTTTTTCCTCATTTTCACACAGAAGGAAACGTTGGAGACTCTAGAATATATATAGGTACAAATGATCAGCGGGAAGAGCTGAGTCGATTTATCCTTGCCCGTCTGCCTGTCCGTCTGTCTGTATATGTATACGCGAAGTACTCCCTTACTTTTTGAGGTATTGATTAGGGTGGAGCGAATTTTTTTTTTTTCGCTTAGCCTGAGGGTAAAATTTGTAGATTATAAAAAAGGAAATTTTTGCAAAAAAAAACAAAAATTTTTCTAACATTTTTAAAGTAAATTTCGAGTTAAAGCCGCCTCTAGATCTTAAATATTTTTTTTTTCCAAAAATTTTTTTTATTATAATCTAAAAATATAATTATATATATAATTTTTTGTCGCTCCACCCTAGTATTGATCCTTGGAAGCGACGGTATCGGACCACTGTAGCATGTAGCAGCGAGCAAACTTACCGATCACAATCAAGTCCTTCTATTGAAAACTTTTATATATGACAACATATCTTCATGAAATTTGGCATGGATTTAAATTGAAATCAACGATGCAATTTTTGAATAATTTGTTTAGATCGGATCGCTATAGCCTATAGTTGCCATACAATGTAACCGAAACTTTCTTGTATGAAACTTTTTTGTTTGTAAAGGATATTATAGCTTCGGGGCCACAGAACTTTCCGTTTTTTTATTGCTTTAGTCACTTTTCATTCACAAGTGTCTCTAACCCCAAGCTAATTTTATTTAACCCTAACCTAATCTTATTTGTTCAGAGATACTCAAAATTTTATTTTGTCATTATTAGCCTATAAAACAGAAGCTGAGTTCCATCAAAAGAAGAAGAAGCATATTCATAATAGTTTTTGTAATTCTACAAGACTTCTAATTATCCAATTAAAATAGACAAGTTAACAAAATTTTAATAACCCTCATTCACCCTTATTATCAAATTAAGTATCAAATAAATTAACTGTCAACATAAAGAAAGAAAAAAGCTACACGGCAGTGTACTTATATCACATAAAGATTTTATGCTATCCCAATAAGCACTCATAAACATATATAACACACTTAAATACGAGTATTTGAGTATTTTAATACACATATGAGCACTTTAGGGTTAAGGCATAGTAAAGCGAAGATGCAAGCAGTGCTGTAGAACACAAAGCAGGAGAAGAGGAACTGCTCAAAGTTGTTTAATGGATATTAACACTCTTATCAGTTAATATTTGAGCATACACAACTTTGCTCTCATCGTTACTCGCTGCACTGTGTGCATAGCCTTACTTTGCAAGTGTACGAATGTGGTATCACTTTTAAAAAATTAATACGCTACACAATTTGTCCTGCTAAAGGGTGTTGATTAATTAAAAAAAGTAAACGTCAATGAAAATTAATGGAGTTACGCGTGTGTGCAGTAGTTGGCTTCTTTAAAAAGGGCGTTGTAGCGTAATAAACTTTGATTGACTGAAAAATTGCTGTTGCAGAGCAATGGCAAAATATCTCTCGCTGCAACACACGAGACATTAAATGAGTATTTAGCTTGTGATCGCACAAATTAAGAGGACTCTCGCGATAAAAGTAGAGCTCATAAAAGCCAACATACATATATGGAGGGTATAAAAAACACGTAAATACGTGAATACCCAACGATATGTATGGAGCAAATATCCATATTTTAGTGGATAGTTAAAGTTTTCGTGCTATTTAAGAACATTTTGGAGAAAAAGTAAACTTTCAAAGAAAATATCTGTGACTCAAAAAACAATGTGATTCAGAAAATTTTCAGAAATTTTACAGTCTGGGATTGCATTTTCTTGATGTGGACTTAGAAATAAATATGTGCTTCGAGTTTGATATTCTTTAATGAGGTAATACCACTTTGGCTGTTGTTGTTTTTAACTGTGTGAGTTCACTATTATGTTTTAGTACATATAGAAGTTCAGTTGGCACTTTCACGGTCTTCAAATTTGACGTTGTCGCATTATGCAGTTAATATGTTCAAATAATTGATGTAAGCGGATGAGTTTCAAAGTTTACTATGACCAACAAGTTTACTTGGCAACTGACCGAAAGTTTAGTGGTCAGTTGGATATTTATAGTCACAAATAGGGCGAAACGCACGTTTATATATACAATATATTTGTTAAAAAATGCAAAAATTTATTTTAAAAATTTTTTTCATATTTTTAATATACATTTCTAATTGTCTATATTTATTTCGTTGTATGCCCCAAGTCACAAAATTTTCGATCAAAATTAAAATTATTGTATTTTTTCAAAACTCCTTAAAATTTCATTATGTTTTTTAATTATACAAGCGATGTCCATTCGCTTGACTGTTCTTGTTATCTCAACCGCTGTCAGAGCCACAACCACACTTAAAATTAAGAAATTTAAGTTGGCGATATGCATAATTATGTACATACATATATAGGGTGTAGATACAGGGTATGTACTACTAAAATACGATATATATATATTTTTTTGCCAATATATATATGACACTCTAGCATATTGCTGCCATTCAAACTGATTGATCAAAATTAAGACAAACGATTTTTTATATCCTTTTAAAAAAAAATCACCCGTGAAGAATATTGTAGCTTCGGTGCAACCAAGGTTAACATTTTTCATCGCTTTCTTTGAATTCATGTTTAGTAATTGATAATATAATTTTTAAAGTTCTTTTACTCAAGCTCTCTGCATCTTCCCTATTTGTTTCTATATCTTTCTCTTTCTGTCTCTCTGACTGTGTTTCCCTCTTTTTTGATCTCAGTTTTATTTTATAACTATTTCGTGCTTTGAGGCATGCAGACAGACTTTCGAACACTGAAAGATGTGTTTATTAAATAAATGCTTGAAAAGAATTTTCAAAGGGAAATACTTAACTATATGAACGAAATAATTTATATAATATATATACTAAAATTAAAATTAAATAAAAAACAATTGAAAGAGGAATGTTTTCTAAGATCTCAATTTTATGATATATGTATACTGGTGTCTATTATAAAACGGACGGTGATGCATTCACATTTTGGAGAATTTTCTTAAATATATAACGAAGCTTCAATGCTATTTAATTAAATTGGGGTACTTGTTTTTGGTTTCTCAACAAAATTGTTTCAATATATATATATAGACACCTTCATATGCATTTATATATAAATTAAATTAAAAGTTTCTATTATTACATACACATTCATTGAGACAGGTATATATTATATAAGTATCCACATTTTACTATTCTGCAAAACAGTTCAGTGCATGAAATTCCAGAATAACAACTGCAGTGCTTAATTGACCATTAGCAAGTGGCAAACAAAAAAGCAGCAACTGGTGCACAAAGAAAAATAAGAAAATTGCAAAGTAGCGTTAAATGCATAGATATATAACCTTGCGGTAACGACAACATATTGGCCATTCATGGTATGCTCGTAGTTACTGAAGTTAGAACAAAGTTGTTTAGGAACTTCTGGAATTGCTAACAACAGGGTGTTACAAACTTTTGAAAACTGTGATAAGAAAATATTTCTAACACATATATAGTTTTAATATTATTGTTCATTGATCTATATTTGCAATTTGTTAAGCTTAGTATTTATGATTTGAAAAAAAATTTTGAAGTCTAAGCCATATTTTTATATTCGAGAACTGATATCAAAGAGAATATGGTTGGTGCTAACTTAGCCCAATTGAGTGTGTGACTTTGATATAATAAAATATATAAATCCGCACAAAAATTGCTTTATTCATTAAAGAAATTTAATAATTAAATAGTAAAAATATGTTTGTATCTGAGTATATTATATAAATATATGTAGATATTTTCGAAACGGAAAAAAATTAAAAAAAAATACTATTTAACATTTTCAATTCTTTAATGGCTATGTGCTATGGCTTTCTGGCTATGGGGCACCTAGTAGTTAGTTTTAATAAAATAAATATTCTGTATAAATATTTTTTAGCACTCCATTGCTTTTTATTGTTGTTGTGCAATTGCTTTAATGGTTACCATTGTTTTTGTTTTTGTTATTATGACTTTTTGCTGTCAATGTTTTGCAAAATTCCATAATTTATGAAGCAGCTAATGCATTTCATAGTCTATGCTTTGCACTGCAGCCTTTACATGCTGCTAACGGCACGGAGCTAAGGAGCGAGTGCAAGGAACATATAGTGAGAGCATAACATAGCATAGCGGTGAGTTATTGTGTTACTCACTTAGTTACATATACACAAGCCAATATTGTTATGTGTTAGTGAGTCATTTATACCCATATATGTATATATATTTTTAACTTTGTAAGGCAGTGCTATATTAGTTTTGCGTACAAGAACCAGCAACAATACAATTTGCATTTTTCTATTTTGTATTTTGTTGTTTTTCATAGCAGCATAGCAAACTGTTTACTCTCTCTAAACTCTTGGAAAATTGCACCAGCAAGAAGTGGTAAATGGTCAATAACATTTTTCGAGCTTGATTTGTTGCAAGTGTTGTTGGCTCGCACTGCTTTGTTGGTTTTTTTTTTCATTTTGTTTAATAAATATACGAATACTTGCTTGCATATCGCCACCTATTTATACATATATACAAAGGTGTATGTATAGAAGAGTATGCGTAGGTAAAACTGATGGTTGTCAGTGGCAACCATGATTAAATGCATCTAGAAAACAAAGTGCTTAACCTAATTTTTTATTAATGCAAACAAACACATTATATGGTTTGCTGTCCATGGCGTATGAGTAACCTTTACTGACCAATCATCAAGTTTGTTTGCTACTTGAAATTCTGTTTAGCTACGCA